AGTGACTAGAAGGTTTCAAAGGGGCAGAGTAGTGGTCAAAGACGGAAATGGCTAATATGGACTATACCCTGCGATGTGTATCAGTGCATGCCTGGATAAATCTGGAGGTGGCAGAGCTTAATTCAATCTTGCACGATGCTTTCATCATGGCAAATACTCCCTCATTTTCCTTTATAAAAAAGCATATGGAACTCATGGTCTTATAGGTAGAAAGGCTAAGAGAAATGCAAGCAGAGGGAGGCAATGTTACTTGCTGCAGTAGCCGGGTCTGCAGTATTTTTATTCTCTGAAACAGTCAGGAGATTGAAAAAAAAAATAGCCACTACTACTTCAGGAATAAAATGAGGAGGAAGGGTCCCGAAAATGGTATCTGAGCAATGAAAGACAGTGAATATTTTAGAGATCACTGAATTTAATTTATTCAACCTAAATGCATAAAAGTACAGGTGGGGACATTATTTATGCAGGTATATGCAAATCACTTTATAAAATAGGCAAAGCCCTTCTGCTTTTTAAAAGTTGCCAAGGTGGTTCCTGATATTTTAAAAGCTCTGCACCTTTAATGTAATTTCCTAAGAGTTGGAATCCCTCTGTTGGAGTCACAGTCATTGTCAGAGTTAAGTTTATTTTTTTCCTTCTCCTCTGGGACATTCACAGGGCTCTCATAACCATCACAAAAAGAGTGGTTTCCACAGAGATGTGACTGGAAAAATCCCTTGGAAATTGCTGAGGAGCAAGTCACAATGTTCAAAGCAGAGAACATAGGCTTTGAAAACATGAACCCATCTGACCTCCTGAATTTAGTACAGTGAATTCCTGAGCTCTGAAACATGGGGCCCGGCTGTGCATGCCATATTGGTGCTATAAGACTGGCAGTAGGTTGGCTGTGGCATGGTCTATTTCAAACTCCTTCACAGTGCCCAGTGTTGCATGTTCCCAGATGACATTTGGTTGGCAGAAGCTGGGCCTCCAAAGCTGGCAGTCTGGAATGCAGCCCACTGTGTTTTGACAAACACATAATTGACCATCTGATCACCAGCCTACGTTCTGCACTCAGGTCATCGGAGGGGAACCTGGGCTTTCAGTGGGTCCCTACTACACGTCTGGTTCATCTTCTCAACCCCCCCCCCCCTTTTTTTAACCAGAAATCATTATGGAGAAGACTTAAAACAACCCCGCACATTTACTTCCATTTGCAAAAAAGAACATGGTACACGAAACATAAGCTGTTGAAAATTTCCTTTAAATTGTCCTGGCAGCCCAAAGTGAACAAGAGAAAAGCACACTTATGGTGAACTCTAATTCAGAATGAAGAAATGAATACACTGAATTGTTTCAACATCCGGCTGTGCCTAAGTTGTAGTGCAGCTGAATGGATTGGAAGTTCTCCTTAGAAAATGACAGCACTGAAAAAATGATGAGAAATTGGGGCAATGATTGACTTTAGGGCAACATTACTAAAAATCGATTGCATTTTCAGGTGAAAGAAGAGAAACGGAAGACTGTGAATATCTCTCTATGTGCCTGCCATATTCCTAAGTCTACTAGGGGAGAAGACAGTCTTGTTTAGAGAGCCAGCAGGCAAACTCTCAGAGTGAGGTCGGGTTAAAATGAAGGTGTAAAATGAAGCTTCCATAAAGATGGATTTTGGTCTGAAATTTGACCCTGGACACACCATTCTTTCTCCTAGAAGGCAAGGATTATGCACTGATCCAAGATATGTTGGCAATATGCAAATGTCAGTCTCTGTCAACACAACCAAATAGCCTTTCCTTTCCACCTGCACCCCTCAGAGTTTAGGCCCTTTAATTTTCTTTTCTTTCTCTCTCTTATTTTTTTTTTTGCTTTTTGGGTCACACTGAGCGAAGCTCAGGGGATACTCCTGGCTTATGCACTCAGGAATTACTCTTGGCAGTACTCGGGGGACCATATGGGATGCTGGGAATTGAACCCGCTTTGGCCGTGTGCAAGGCAAACACCCTATCAGCTGTGCTATCACTCCGGCCCCAAATAATTTTAACTTTTAGAACCAGCTTGGACACCGTTTCCACACTCAGGTGGGCATTCCTTTTTTCCTTCCCCTTGATGCATCTTTGATATGCTTCCTTTCTGGTACCAGTCAAATACTGTAGACTGTATTGACTTATTTCCCCTACCACACAGTGAGATTTAACAATAGGGACAGAATCCCAGAATGAAGTATAGTGCCTAATGTTCCATAAATGCTTGTTGACTGAAAACTGAATCAAGAACTGAGCACGATAACTAATGAGACATATCGATAGGCAGCATGAGCTTCTATAATCATAGTTGACAAGAGTATGCTGGAAAACAAATGAAAGCAGAAGATCCCTAGCACAAAGGCATTTTTTGATGGGTAATCACTGGCACTGGTGGTTGGCTGAGGGGGAGAGAGGTGGATGATATGATTTTAAAAAGTGGGTGAATTTTGTTTATTTCAACAGATTGTTACTGAGGCAGTGACTTTCCAACCTGTCAACATGTATCTTCCAATAATGAAAGGTAAAATTCTGAGAATGCATCTGGGTCAAAATTGCTTAAAGGTCTGGTTTGTAAGAATCTGTTTTATCAAATTGATTCTGTTTTGCCCTACTCAAGGCAGAATGGCAGATTATGGAAGGTTCCTATGATTCTGCTAAAAAGTAAGGAAACATGGGGCCAGAGCAATAGTACAGTGGGTAGGGCATTTGTCTTGCACGCGGTTGACTCAGGTTCAATCTCCGGCATCCCACATGGTCCCCCAAGCACCACCAGGAGTAATTCCTGAGTTCAGAGCCAGGAGTAACCCCTGAGTGTGACCCCCCAAAAAATCCAAAAAAAAAAAAAAAGGAACAGAAAATTGTTGCAGTCAATCCAGATTTGACTGGAAATAAATTCAGTGCCACGGAGAGAAGATTCAACAGGTCAAACTCTGACTTTTCAGAGGGCCATCAAAGAAGCTCCAGGAAACAGAGTAGTAGGGTGATACTATTCTCATCTGTACCCACGAAACATCTCTTTCCCTTTGATGGATGCTGTGGTCCCACCCTTGGAAGCATCAGTTGTATCTGAGTGGCATTAGAGAACAGCAGAATTCTCCTGGGCCGAGTCACCCATGAAATAAAGACAGTTTGGGATTTGGAACAATTAACACAAACATGAAGCCTAGGCCAACGGTGGATCAGGTCAGTGCGTATATAAATGGTTCTCATCCCCTTGCAGGTCATTTTCCCAGTTTTATCTGTGGTTAAAAACTAGGGTCTCTCTTGAAGCTGCCTGACTAATGATTGAATAGAATCAGTTTTGCATTTTGCTATGAGCCAGAGACAGCCCTTTAGTTATGCTCTGCTTTATTTTTCCTCAAAGGTCTCCCCTTTGATTTCTAATCCATGACACAAGCCTCCTGTCCCTGGTGATGCCTGTGTCTGAAGCTCGCCCTCCACTGCCGACGTCATACTAGCTGAGCTGTGCGGGCAGGAGTGCACTGTGCTGACTCATCCCTGGTGATGTGAGGATTAATGCCTTGTCTGACACAGAGCTATTATGTGAACTGTTTTTACACAAAAGAGCTGTAACAAAAATGATTTCCCAGCCAGAGGACTGAAAAATATGCAGTGCTAGGTAACTGAGGTAGGGCTGTGGATGGAGCTAGAGAGTGGTAACCAAAAGCATGCACCTTCACATTCTCCAAAGCATTGACAGACCCACTCTATCAACACCGTGAATAAGGAATAACAAGAGTTGTCAGGGGCAGGGAGGACCCACCCCTGCTGTATAAATGCATTACACACAGCACCAGTCTTTAGGGAGTTTAATCAATCTCCTTTCTCTGTCAAATAACTGTCACTTTAGACTTTAGCCTTAGCTTTCTTCAGAGAATTCTGCTCCCCTAAATATATTTGCAACCAGTTTCCAGACAGGCTAGTGGAAACCAGGCAAACAAAAGAGCCATGGGGGCCCCCTTCTGTGCAAATGATTTTGCTACCAGAAAGTACCTGAGAATGAGAAGGCAGCGGTGGAGTAAGATGGAGGACTGTGGATAAAGGATGGTGCTCACCCGTGAGTGAAACAGTTGGAAGGACCCTGATGTTTTATTTTTATTTCATCACAGGAGGTCCCTGCCACTACCTGCAGCATCTCTCGAGGGCATCTCATGTAATGATTTTGATTCTTTGGGTTCACTGCCCCAGAACTTCTTGTAAGCAGCTCCAGGTAATATTGATCCAAATTCATTCTCACTGTGTCTTGGTTTGGGTTTTACATAATGAATGTTCTCTATTTTTATCTGAAATCAATTTATTTTTCCAAATGATTTCCCATCTTTACTAAAAAAATACGGTTAACGTCTAAAAACCTCTTTGTACATGACAACTGTAATCCTGGGTTACTTGTGTGTGTGTGTGTGTGTGTGTGTGTGTGTGTGCGTGTGTATGTGTGGGTGTGTGTTTTTTCCCTGCATTTTACAATTTCACACACAAAATTAGCCTAAAAAGCTGAATTCTCATACTTTAGTGTTGCACTTGCACTTCGTAGGAAAAGGATATTAGAAACACTGTCAATATATAAAAGCTCTGATAAAGTAGCTAAAATTAGCAATGAGTGGACTTTGGGATGGGTGTAAAACTGAAGAATAAATAATCACACATTGATTGACAGTGGAGCAAAAGCCCAACTGTTGCTGGTGTCTGGCTGAAGAATGTAGGCTGTAGTTAAGAAGAGCAGTGACTTTGCAAATAGCAGCTGTGGTCACGTAAAAGGCAGTCTTTATATAAGGCCTGTGGATAAAGCCACCGATCTTTTCAACCCTCTTAGGAACAGCAACGGACAGCAACTATTACTAGTACCAAGAGCACTGACTCCAAACAAACACGACAAAGTGAATATATATGAAGAAGAGCCGAGAACCACAACAAAACTGACTAGACAACGCAACAAGCACAATTAAATTTCCCAAGTCCATCAGTTCCTTTTAAAAATATAAAGGGAAAATTTTTACTCACGTAAAATGAAGGGCCAGGCCAGGACTGATAGATCGAGGAACTGCAAATCAAAAACAGGAAATTAAAAATAAACCCAGTTGTAGTGTGAGAAGCAGAAAACGCAAATCAAGGTAGAGATGGGGCTGACTGCTCTAAAAGAACAAACAGTGGTAGACTCCTGTTACCTGTGATCTAGCACACAGGAGACTCAACCTCATCCAAACATCTCAAAGATACGCCCTCTGCTCTGAAACTTCCCAACATGGAGTGCCAACCTCTTGCTTTCTGAGCTGAATGATGTATTTTCGATACATAGTGATTGGCCACAGTCATCAACTTAATTAATAAAAATTAATAAAAATTTAAAACATTTCCTTCAACCATGATCCATACTTCACTGGCTTAGTTTCCTTATGGGTAGGACCTTCCAATCTCTCATAGATGTGTTGTGCACTGACAATTGGTAAAGAGCTTTACTATATGGTGCCCATGAAATTTCAGCTAGTTGTGGTGAATCAGAACCAAACTGATGAACTTTGTTTTTCTGTCTTTGTTTTGGGTCTCCCAAAGAATGTTCAGGGACCCAGGGGCCAGTCACACCTCTCAAACTGGTTGGCTGGCTCAATGACTGCACTCAGTGATGCAGTGATACAGGCCTGGTGGTACTGAGGGTCATCAAGGCCACAACCTTTGCAGATATAGGGTGTCTGCAGTGCCCTATCTTGCCAGAAATTGAACTCAGGTATATGTGAATGCTAGGTTATAGTCACTGATCCCATTGTTGGCTCTTTCAGGGTAAATTTAGTATGTCTAATGCTCAGAGGATTCTCTAGACAAATTTAATATCTCTATGCATTTTTAATTTTTAGCTTTGTTACTAACTTCAATTGATGCTGGTTGAGGACTAGACTTTGCCTTGTCTAAGTCGCCAAGGAATGTTCCCTCTGACAAAGTGATTTTAAATGATAGCATCTGTCCCCCCAAACACACTTCAAATAGTGAAAATTTCATGAACTGACCTTAGCCATTTCTTATCCTATGTTTCAAAACTAATAGTTCTCCTTTGCCATCTTCAATTAACAAGAAAAATAAGGTATAGGTCTGGTCTATATGCCATTATCTTGATAGCTTTTAAAGAAGGCAAAATGGAAGGAACAAGAGCCACAAGAAATTAATAAGCCGAACAATGGGATTAAAAACAAAGCAAACGGCCCCACCCCCACAATATGAAAAATTATCAAGAAATAATATATGGTGATTGAATTCTTGTCTCTGACACTATTATTTTAACCACTTCACGTAAGGCCTCCAAAAATATGCAAAACCAAGTGTACTAAAAGAGATAAAGTAGAATGATCTGACTAAATAACTTGGCGCCAAATAAGGATAAAGCAGTAAGCTGACAATTAAAAAGAATTCACTTCTTGGAAATTTTCTGGACAAATGCATGAACACAGAAGTTCTATGAAAAAAAAAATTCCCCTTTTGGTCCAAAGTGAAATTCTGTTCTGCACCAGAAAGAGGGAAGGATGGTGTTCCTTTTCCCGAACAGAAAGAGTTAAGATGAAAATCTGCAGCTTAGATCATAATGTATGCTAACACAAGAGAGGTTGGGGGTCTCTAATGCTTTTAAATTGCTTTCTAAAATTGATGAGTTTAATGAAAATTTTAAGCAACATAATTAGATTATGTATGATTCATTGAAAGCATATACAAACTTGAAATATATGTAAAGTATTTCTTAAAATATATGTATATGTGCATATAAATATATATAAACACATTTACACACTGATTAGTCTTCAAACTTTTGAAGTTTCAAATTTGCTACTTTCCTATCTCTTCTGTAAGACAGAATCCTAAAACATTAAATTGGTACATTTTGTTATTTATTTTTGGATTTGGGGCCACACCTGGCAGGACTCAGGGCTTACTCCTGGCTCTGCACTCAGGGATAACTCCTGGTGGTCTTGGGGCATTATATGGGGTATAAGAGATTGAACCCTGGTTGGCTGTGTGCAAAGCAAGTACCCTAATCTCTATATTATTGCTTTGTGTCCTGAACTGGTGCAGCTTTTAAATTTCCCTCCCTCCGTCCCTCCCTTCCTTCTTTCCCTCCCTCTCTCTTTCCTTCCTTCCTTCCTTCCTTCCTTCCTTCCTTCCTTCCTTCCTTCCTTCCTTCCTCCTTCCCTCCCTCCCTCCCTCCCTTTATTCCCTTCCTTCCCTAGGTTTTTTTTTTGTAAGCTTGTTTTCTTTTCCTACCTTTAAGGAAAAGAAGAAAAATATAGGTAATGATTTTCTATGAAATATTCTCACTTTTCTTTTGCATATTATAAATCCAATAATTCTCAATAATATGCTCTGATTTACTTAAACTATATTTAGTATTTATGTTCATATAGCTAAGCATGTAACTTTCCTCTTCAAATTTCAAGGATCATTTATTCATAAAAGTTAATCAAAGCTAAATTTTTGATGTGATCAAAGAGCAATGTAAATTGTACACACACTGACTAATATATCCAAGGCCTCGAATAAAAATCTCTCTTTTTTGGGAAATCAATGACACTCAAGACTGTCAATAACACAAATCCTAGATAGACAGAAAATGTATCCTAGGGTGTATGCCACAATTTAAGACATATTTAAACCATATTAAATTGAATAATTTGTGGGATATAATTGCTGTTTTGGAGCTGGAGAGAATACAGTGTTTAAGGCCTCTCCTTGAACATGGTCAACAAGGGTCTGACTGCCAGCACCACATATAGTCTCCTGAGCCAGGAGTCACTCTTGAACACAGAACCCAGAGTAAACTCTGAGCACTTCTGGGTGTGGCAAATCCCCCCTCAAATGTTGTTTTTATGTATAAGCTAAAGACAAAACTACACGGGGTCTGGTGCCGCCGGCAGGTCAATCTGTACATGTGAGGGGAGTGTATCAGCAGCTGCTGGTGCCTTCAGATTTCCAGATATCCCCAAATTGCTGCTGTGTCTTTGGCCAGACCCCAAAAACTTGGGGCAAAGTTTACCAAGAAAGTAAGCGGACAAAAGTTAGGTATGTGGGAGACACACCCACAAACCACCTCGGGCTCAGCTATATAATTGGAGGCATGGCCTCTCTGGTTCCAGATTGAACTGCTTAACGGCCATGATCCCAGAGACTCAGAAACAAATCTCGAAACCCAAAGGCTTTAGGCAGAAATGCGTCTGATCCCTGCAGTAGGTTAGCAGCACCGGGCCACCCCAGGTGGAAAAAGGTTTCGTGCCGTGGCCTGTTTCCTCTGGCTACCGGGTGGTCGTCATCCTCCAGAGGCCACCGGACAGTCTTGTTTGGGCCCACAGTGATGAAATACGTGGATGGGGGTGGAGCTGGCCCTTTCCTCCCCATCCCAATGAGACCCTGAGTGGACGACCACAAAAGGCCTCTCTGGCTCCTGATCAAGTTGCTTAACAGCCATGATCCCAGAGACTCAGAAACAAATCTCAAAACCCAGCAGCTTTTGGCAGAAATGTGTCCAGACTCTGCAGTAGGTTATTATCGCCGGGTCACCCCAGGGGGGAAAGGGTGCTGTCCTTCCACCTGCTCCCCCTTGGCAGCTCGGTGGCCACCATCCGCCAGAGGCCATTGGACAGTCTGCTTTGGGCCCACAGTGGGGCATCACGGGATGGGGGTGGAATCGGCCCTTTCCTCCCCACCCCGACGAGACCCCGAGTCACCACTCACGAATGGCCTCTCTGGCTCCTGATCAAGCTGCTTAATGGCCATAATTCCAGAGACTCAGAAACAAATCTCAGAACCCAGTGACTCTTAGCAGATATGCATCCGGACCCACAGTAGGTTACTGTCACTTGGCCACCCCAGGGGGGAAAGGGTGTTGTCCCTCCGCCTGCTCCCCCTATGCGTCTTGGTGGCCGCCATCCTCCAGAGGCCATTGGACAGTCAGGTTTGGGCCCTCAGTGATGAGACACATGGGGCCTCACGGGATGGGGGTGGAGCTGGCCCTTTCTTCCCCATCCCAATGAGACCCCGAGTCACTGCCCATGAATGGCCTTTCTGGCTCCTGATCAAGCTGCTTAACGGCCATGATCCCTGAGACTCAGGAACAAATCTCGGAACCCAACAGGTTTTGGCAGAAATCCCTCCAGATATAAGTGTCAAAGTTTCAGAACTACTACTGCATGGGTACTATTGCAGTCACGCTACATCATATGTTATTTATAACCAGCAATAGAAAACAAATTGTCTACTGTTGCCTTTTCAGCAGATCTGAGTGTTGGGGTAAAATCCCAAATAATAAGCTTTGAAACTGTTTTCTCACGGTGATTCAATAAATAAAATTATAAAAAATGAAAAAAAGAGACAAAAGTACAGGGGTTTGAGGGATAGTACAGGGGTTAAGGTGCTTGCCTAGCATGCCATCAACCCTGATTCAGTCTCCCGCGCCATATATAGTTCTCTGAGCATCACCAGGAATGACCTTTGAGCATCTAGCCCCTGACCGCTGCTGAAGCTCAGAATCTTCTCTCCCCAGAAATAAAACAAAAATAATTATCCCACACTTAATGTTAAAGTTTATAATCTGGTTTCTGGGCACTAGTATAATTCATAAATATCTACCACTTGACTGAATTACAATCTGCTTTGCAATTTTGCAAATGAGTATTAACCTATGTAGATTATTTTGTTCATTTAAAAATGCCATTGATATGTGCCCTTTCTGCCTGTGATATACACCGTATGAGTCTACAAATCATTTGCATCTGAGATGCAAAGAACTATTTATAATATCTTTGAATAAGATTAAAAATTATTTGCACTAGGTATGTATTTTCAAATACCTAGCAAAGAATATTTTTATATATTTATATGTATAACTTTAAGGTGCACATAAAACAGGTGATGGAGGGAGATGAGGCAAAAGTAGAGAGGAAGAAAAAGTCTAATTTATGGTCAAGAGTAATCTTTGTTTTGTGATTTCTAAGTGGAGTTAAAGGTATTATTAATTGTAACTTAAAGATAAGCTGATTCTAACTTCAATTTACATAATGCTCTAAGAAA